CCCCTTCGTCCAACGCGTCTGGATCTCCCTCGAACACAAGCAAATCCCCTACCAATACATCGAAGTCGACCCGTACAAGAAACCGCAATCCCTCCTCGACGTCAACCCGCGCGGTCTCGTCCCCGCTCTCCGCCACGGCCCTACATGGTCGACCCACGAATCAACCGTTATAATGGAGTATCTCGAAGACCTGCAGGCTGGACCGCATCTGCTACCGCCTGATGCGCAAACACGTGCGACTTCGCGCCTCTGGTCAGACCATGTTAATCGGAATATTATTCCGTGGTTTTATAAATTGCTGCAGTGCCAGGACGGCGCTGAACAAGTATCCCACGCGAAGGAATTGAGGGATCAGATTGGGAAACTCGTTGATGCTGCGGATCCCACTGGGCCTTTCTTCCTCGGTCCGCACATTTCCTTCGTAGATGTGCAAATCGCGCCCTGGGTTCTACGACTAAGGCGCGTGTTGGGTCCGTACAGGGGGTGGCCTGAGGCGGAAGAGGGGAGTAGGTGGAAGAGGTGGATTGAGGCCATTGAGGCGGAGAGGAGTGTCAAGATGACGACGAGTACGGATGAGCTTTATTTGGATAGCTATGAGAGGTATGCGGAGAATAGACCTGGGACTAGTATGTTGGCGGATGCGGTTAATAGTGGGAGGGGGTTGCCTTGAGGAGGAGTAGGGGTAGGTGGAGATGTGAAACGATCTGATTGAAGACTTATACCAACGCATACACTATATGGTTCTCTAGGGCAAAGCTTGACTGTGTACTTGTACATTTTGCCATTTCCTTATCATTTCAATCCATGTATGGTGTGGAAACGGGATAGGAGTTGTAGTCAAAGTTGAATGTGAAACGTGAAGTACAAATCCGCAGTCAAAAGATAGTTACAGTCGTGTTCCCAAAGCGGTGAAGTGCCTCCTCACCGTCCTCTTCGCTCAGATGCATCATGCCAAACCCGACCCTCACAAACGAAAGCTTGCTTTCCGAATTCTCCATTGCCTTTGCCTGGATCTGGTCGAGGTGTTCGAGCGGTTTGAGCAGCAGGCCCAGAAACTGATAGCCTTCAGAATAAGGAATGCGGCCCTCTTCACTGGGGTCGGGTTCGTAGATTGTACGAATGATCAAGAGGAATATTGGCGCACCGATGACATGGTTCGGGAGCAACAATTCCGGGCTGTCCGGGTCGTCGAGCACACAGTAGCAATCGTTGTCCCCAGACCATTCGGCTTTCGGGGGCCAGTCGGGACTACAAGTGACATACGAATCGAATGATTGGCTGCCACTGTGGTATATCAGAAATTCTTCCCACGCATTGGTGCGGTCTACCCATGTCCCTTTCAACGGAAACAACGGCGCTCGTAAGGTAATATGACCCCCAGACACTAGACCTCTGGGATCGACTGAACTGGGATAGGTACGAACGTCAAGGACTTCGGCAAAATCTTCTTTACGAAACTCCAGTTCAGGATAGCGTACTATACATTCCGTCGATGCCCAAGACCAGGATGGTGGCATAGATCCGGAATAATGTTCTGGTTCGGGGCGGTAACCGCAAGCATTCCACCAAAGCAAGCTACCTGGCAAATGGGATTCCCAAAGCCCAGCAAGATATCGGCCTGAGTTTTCTTCGACTTCTTCGAAGAAATGCGTCAGACTAGATAGTGCCGGAAGCCTGTCTTTGCAAAAGCTGATCTGGCGTGCTGTGTAGTGTGCCACAATGTTATTCCAGACCTCCGGGTCAGCGTACCAGATACATTCAGGGTGATCGTCAGCTGGATCATGGCCAATGACTTGAGGTAAAGGAAAACGAGGTACCCAACGAGGGTCACATTCGCAAGTTGTTGCTGCACGACAGACAAAGACCATCTCGTCCGCTGTGAAATGAACGATCCGCCTAGAGAGCAGTTCCTCTTGGAGACACCAGGCACGCCTCCGTAAGGGTAAGTCGGTAGGGAATGCAAAGGGGAGATCGGTGGATGCTATAAATTCGTGCGATATCTCGCCTCTGACGCATACAACAAAAGTCTCGTCATTGTGAGATGCTTCGACCTTTCGAAGACTCCGACGACGATTCAGTAGTCCTTGTTGTCCGTTCTTAGCCGCAGATGCGGCAATCGTAAGGTATGCATTCGAGAAAACATCAGCCATTTGAGAAGCTTGATGAGCCCAGTCGTCCACAGAGTCTTGTAAAATGCCTTTCACGGGAGGAGATCTCAGTAACGACGATAGTGTGCCATAGATGTCGAGGGTACTTACACAGGGAATCAATCCAGATATAGTCGATACCGAGCTCGCGCGTCAACAGCATAGCCTCTTGGAACGTCTTGGATAAATGCAGCCAGTTAATACCTTTCGTCTTGAATCCAGACATAGTGTCAGTCGTGGTCTTGATGACCGGGGTAGAGCCCCAGCAGTGGCTTAGAGCGGTGTATCGAATATCAACCCCTCTCAAAGATGTGTCATCACTCGCTGTTTCATACAAACGGACTTGCAAAGGCACACAGTCACCGCTGACATGCAGTAGCCGCTTTGGGATGAACTGAGGCGTCACCAACCCCCTCGAGATTAGTCGCGGGTCATTGGCTTTGCAGGTGGTGTGGGTGGTGTTGCATGTGTCCAGCATGCGAAAAATTGAGGGAACACAGTCCTGAATGCTCGCGCTCTCATCGGGGATGTAATTCGGCCGCATAAAAGGCCAAGGGCAGCTGTCTCCTACGATTCGTCAGTGAGCAGCCAATGCGGCCGCTTCGAATATACTCATAGGCCAAATATACCCTACCTGATGCAGCGTAGAACGATACTGAATAGAATCGCCAATCTACAAAATCAGTATATGACGTATACTAAATTAGGCGGAAGTAGAGGGACATCTGGAACGTACATCCATTCCTCCGCAACCTTCTGACGTCCAGATTTGCTGCGCGCTCTTTTACACCTGAGCCTCCTGTACTCGCGTGTACTTCATCAGTATCTCGAATCACTGTATTTTCGCCAGTGCAAGCTGTCTCGCTAACTTGTTGAAGAAGCTTGCATAACTCGCACCCATTCGTTGCTGTGCGCCGTAACTTCGCATACGTTGTTTTGATGGGGGTGGAATTTGGTAACCGGAAATTTCGGCAAACTTGGCAATCCGAATCGCTCACAAAAACATCCATATCTTCGTCCGATGATTCGGCCTGCGGGAGGAAGGCTTTATCTTCGGGGCATGCAGCACTGGACGTCATGCTGCAATCATGGATATCGTCGATAGTTGGTATCAGTAGCCCAAAGGAAAAGCGAAGTATCAAAGAAGACGAAGACGAAGATGCATTCGCTGGAGTGTGACAGGTTCCTTGAATGAAGGATGAGGAATGAGGAACAAGTAGAGCTGACACTAAGTGGGACCATAGGCTCTCAGCCTCATGACGTCGTGGGGTTGCCTGCACACACAATGCGCTGCCTACGAATTGTTAAGAAAGGTAACAGATGCGTGCGCTACCTAGGTTCAGATAGCGACAGCTTTCATTCTTGAATCAAACTACAATCGATCGCAGATACCTCACGCGTGCACTGGTGTGAGTGATCAAGCAGGAAGGTGCAAGCTCATTGTAAGGCGGGTATACATGCGAAGAGACTGTGACAGACCGGTAGCTCCGCCCCTGGCACTCTAAATATAAGAGGTTAGCAGATGTTATCGTTCCCAAGTGTCTGAGATGGAATAAGTGAGAGAACCCCCAAGGAAAGCGCAGGCACGCGCTCCCCTCTCACTAGCGCGTCTATGAGGGGCAATCGCGGGGCACCAATCTACGCAGCAGCAGTCTCAACACCAAACACCGTCGCATAACAACCCAACTGCCCCCACACAACCGACACGATGTTCAAGAAAGAGTAAGCTGCATGACGCGTCGCCAAACAGAAAGAAAGGGCTAACAAGATCACAGCATAACCTCAGGCGCAAAATCAAAGGTCAAATCCAGCGCCCAACGCGCCATCCGCTCAAAAGTCCTGGAGGAATACCCGAGATTAGAACCGTATATCGAGGATATACTGCCGAAGAAGGAGCAATTAGATTTGGTCAAGCTGTAGGTCGCGCCACATTCAAATTTAGCATAAACACTACCACGCCTACCACGGTCATGGAAGCAAGCACAGGAGGATGAAAGCTAACAACCTCCTCCACAGACCCGACCGCGTATCCCTCTACACCCTGCACTCCACCCCCCTCTTCTTCCAACACATGGACGACGCCCTCCTCCCGCACCTAACCCTCGTGCACAAATACCCCTTCGCCTTCCACCGGCTGCGCATCGACCGCGGCGCCATCCGCTTCGTGCTCTCGGGCGCGACCTTAATGGCACCCGGTCTGACATCGCCGGGCGGCCGCTTACCAGGCCCGGAGTTAAGTGACGAGGACAAAGAGGTGTATGGGGCGCAGGATCTGAAGGAAGGTGAAGTGGTGGTGATTGAGGCGGAGGGAAAGGAGACGGCGTGTATGGTGGGCGTGTTGAAGATGGGGACGGAGGAGATGAAGAAGGTTAAGAAGGGGCAGGCGTGTGAGGCGGGGCATTATTTGGGGGATGGGCTTTGGGGGTTGAAGTTGGATTGAGGGGGGGAGGGTTTTGATGGTATGGGCGGGATGAAGTACATGAGCAGCGAGTGGCTTCAGAGTCACACGAACAGACCGGCTATCGATGAAGGGATGGATCACGATCAGGAGCCACTCAAGGCTCTGATCACAGGCACAATGTTACAGCTTATCTTGCCATTCGCAAGATAGTTGTCGATCTTAGAACGGGATCTCCATGAATACAAACGAAGTTGAACATGGTATCATATTTCTAATCGTGAAGACTGCTTTTTCATAAGATCAATGCTTACATCAACCATCTACTCATTGCAATCGACTTGTAGCATCTTATTGCGGTGCGCCTCGGCCAGCACCAGCACCACCACCTCCCATGAAGTTCCTGGCCCTGATATCTCGTTAGTCATAATTATGTCAATGAGCACGTCTTGAACTTACATCTCAGCCAGGTTAGGGTCGTTCATGAGATCCTGCATGTTGGGCATTCCACCTCCGCTTCCACCACCGCCGCCGCCTCGACCTCCACCGCCACCACCACCACCGAACTGTTGAGCCATCTCCGCTATCCTTGGGTTGTTCATGAGGTTGCTCATCATGTCTGGGTTGCTCATGAGGTTTTGAGCCATCTGCCTCATCATCGGGTTCTGCATAAGACCCGCGAGATCGGGCATGCCGCCGCCTCCGCCGCCGCCACCACCGAGCATACCAGCGAGGGCAGAGAGATCAGGCATGCCACCGCCGCCACCCATACCGCCAGCTCCTCGGGCAGCGTCGGGAGCACCAACGTCACCACCATCCTCTTCGACCTTCTTCTTAGCTGTCTCGTAGCCCTTGCGCATGACCTCTGAACCGCCGCCCTCTGCGTCCATGCCCGACTTGTATGCCTCCATAGCGCCCTTTGCGTCGCCGAGAACGTACTTAGCGAGACCGAGACGCGACCAGGCCTTGGAGTAGTTGGGATCGGCAGCGACTGCCATCTCAGCGTCCTCCTTTGCGAGCTCGTGCTTGCCCTGGCCTGAGTATGCGGCGGCGCGGTTGGAGAGGTAGATGGGGTTAAGCGGAACGACTTCGAGGGCAGCGGTGTAGTGCTTGACAGCAGAATCGTAGTCCTTCTTCTTCATCGCCTCGTTACCCAGTCCCTTCAGTCTCTCGGCCTCATCCTTGTTTGGCCCGCCTGGTCCTGACCCGGCGGCAGGTGTCTGTGGCGTCGCTGGTCGGGCCTCCTTTGCCGACGAGGATCCCTCAGTTGTGGCAGTTGTCTTTCCCTTGAGCTTCTCGTAGACATTGTAGATTGCGAGCAGGTTCTGGTCGCCAATGGCGTCCTTCTTTGCGGCCTCATCCGCAGCGTCGACCTTGAAAGCTTCGGCGATGCAGTTGGCGGCGACTTCGAGCTGTTCGGCGTCGTCGGGCGCTACGGAGCCGTCGGTCTGCGAGGTCTGGAGGAAGTCGAGGATGGCGAGCGCGAGGCGCTTCTTGGATTGGAAAGCCTGGGACTGTGAGCCGTTGTTTACGTGCGCAAGTGGGGCAGACTTACCATGACGGCGTGATGTGTGTGTTGGAAGGGTCTCGCAGGCTGGGTACTAGGAACAATGTAGTACGTTCCCTGGTAGTAAGCTTATGAACAGGTGTTCAGGTAGGTACAGGATTATGGTTGGTTGCAAGTCTGAGATCAACGCATTGAAACTCGAAGCTTCCGTCGGTCAATTGGCGGGGCAGTCCGCCGCCTGGCCAGTGCCAAGCTGCTACCACCAACCCTGTAGTGTTCACTATCAAACGCTGCGAGCAAAGAATGTGAATTGCATGAATTTGGGATTTGTCTGGCGTCATTCAAGCCATCAAGTGCTTTTATTTACACGTCTACTCTTACACCCCACTACTAATATAACACATGCTAGAAGGTGAGATGGGTATCTACAAGTCTCTAATCGTCGCTCAATCCTTCCCAAGCACCCTTGGGCTTCTCCTTCGGCCACAGTGAGCTGAACCATGATTCTTCTTTTAAGAGAGACATGCTCTTGGCGCGCTCTTCAACTTCGCGATCTAACGCAAATCTCCGCATGCGCTCAGCGATTCTAGGGTCGAGCACCATTTCGTCTAGCCATACCCTTTCCCTAGTGTCGCCTTCTTCGCGCTTTCGTGCTGTCTTGGACCAGTCTGGTTCTTCGTGTGCAAGTAATCGTTGTTGCTCCCACTGCGCCTGGCTGTGTCCGTCTTCCTCGTTGGTGACAGACGCTTCGCCTGCAGTCTCGAAAGGTCGGTATGCACCGAGAACAGCGGCAGCGGTTTCCCTGCCAATGTCATCCGCCGCTTGTCGCTTGTTCAGGAAACGGAACATGCGAATGGGGAAGTTGAAGAACCCAAGAAGATGAGGAAGAGGTACTACGGCGGCGGGACCGAGTGCTTGTGGGCAGTTTTGGGAGAGTACGGCATTGTGGTATTCGGCGGTTGAGATGAAAGGCGGTGGTTGCTTCTTCTTCTTGGGTTTGTTCTCTTCTTCCTTCGGCTTCTCAGCGTCTTCCGTCTTTGGGTTTTCGGGTGTAGCAGTAGGTGATGCATCGTCGGTCGTGGCAGGTGTTGTGCTGTCAGAGGGTGCTTCGGTCGACGCAGGTGTGGGTTCGATCGCAGCAACCGGTACCTCTACCGTCGGTTCTGATGATGGCGGAGGGTCCAGAGGTCCCAGCCAACCCTCATGGAGTCCTCGAACATATTCTTTCCATGTGTGTCTGCCGATAATGATGTCTCCTCCCGGTCCACTCCACTGGCTCACACCAGCTCTTTGCCTTAGTCCTTCCAACTCCTCCTCAAGCCCTGGCTCCAATGGCTCGGCGGTCACCTCTCCCCTCTTCTTCCTCAACTTCCGTATCCGCTCTGCCAATCCAGCTCTGACGTCTCCTTCCCTTCGGCCTTCGACCGCATCCCAATCCAATGCCGCTGCGACCAGAATGGGCTTGATGTATTCGTGAAAGTGATCGCGTGCAGGTACTATTCCATCCGCCGGCGGTGCAGACAAGAATATCGTAAGCCTCCTCGGCAGCTGATGTACGTCCAACGGCTCGTGTGCGATGTGCTCAACAACCTTTGCCCACTTCTTCTGTATGCGCTTCTTCTGCCTGCGATCATACATGACCGCCGCAGTCCAAGAACCAGTAATCGAAAGAAAAATCATCCAATTGCGCGACGGCAGCTTGAAGCGAAAGTTTGGCAGGCCTGTAATTGTTAGTAGTGCTCCGCGTGAGACAGTGGAACCACGCACCCATCATTCTCCAGACGGGATTCGGAGGCTTCTGCGGTTTGCTGGGCCCGGCAGAAGCCTCGCCCGCAGCTGAGGCTTTTGCGTCCGGTTCGGCCATGCTGGTGTGGACGGCGTTGGTGGTTGCGGTGTTGGTCGCGCGCCCCAAAAATTTCCTTGACTGCCTATCGGCGAGCGCGGGAATGGATCGGAGCGGGCTAGTCATCACTCCCAACCTTGGAACGACGTGATTTAGCGAGTGACGGTCCCACCACTGCCCCTCACCCCTCAGTGACATTATTGGAACCTTGAGCCGCATTTCGCGGCTCTATTGCCCGCACATTTGCCAACGTATTGTACGATAAAATTCAAGATTTTGCCATCAAATCACCTTCGGGTAATGCGATAACACCTCATGGTGGTAAGTTCTGCCCGCACGCAGTACCTATGAGACATCTTCTAACTGTACCTTCAGGTATGGTCTAGTGGTATGACGTCGCGTTGTGGCTGGCGGACACTAAGTGTCCCGATCCAGATCCGCGCCAGCCTGGGTTCGAGTACGTTCTTTCCCAATACATTGGTGGTCCTGAGACATCGTCTAACATGTCTACAGTTCCCAGTACCGCCAAATTGCGACATTCTTTTTTGCCTTCTTAATAGCCTTCTCAGCAGAAGGCTAGTCGGCTTTCTTTTTGCCTCTTAAACTCTTGTTACAGGAGACTGTGACGCTGCACATATCTGTATGCAGTCTACCTTTACTTAGTTAAGTTGCCTGATGTAGGTTCACTAGAGAGCGAGTTTGACATAAAACAGGGAGCAGGATACTAGATTCTGCCTTCACAAAGGTTGCTTGCATGCTTTTTTGAACACTTTTAATACTTACGAAGCGATATGCTTGTTCTAAAATGTTACAATCGACTTTGACTACACCTCTAGGGGCGCACATATATGCAGACTTGCTCACATTGCTCTATGCAGTGCATCGGAAGTCTCTTTTGCCCTTCAGACTTTATCAGTCTTGTCTCTAGGGACAACAGATCATGCACTAGGAAGATCAAGTTTAAGGATGTATTGTATCCAGATGCTCGTTGATATCGGACTCTGCTATCCGAATATTACAAATCGGACAATCGACGAGTAATTTCTTCTGCACGACAGAATTATGCTCCTCATCTCGCGGCCGTTTCTGGCCAGCGCTCGAGGCTGTGGGTGTGGATGAACGAACGACATCTTCCACGCCTGCAGACGCCACACCTTGTCTATCATTCGAAGGATTGGTCGAGGTTTCATCCTCATCACCAATGACAATAGGTACATCAGAAGTCTTGCCCTGCACCTTAACATCCTTCTTGATCCAGCCATCCAACTTATTCTTCTGCCGTCCCGCCCGCTCCTTGGTACTCATAGCCTCCAGCTGTTTCTTAGTCGGCGCCGGTTCCTGGATCTTGTGATAAGTGCCCCCACATTCGGCCTGATGTCTTGAGTACCACGTGTCACCCTTGCCAGGAGCTCGGTTCATGCTGCGCTTGACGAGGCCAAAGTACGGCGGCTGGCTTCTGCAGGGTCCGTCGCACTGCCAGACGTGGGTGCGGTAGCTGTCGACTTCATCGTGAAAGGTGTGGTAGATGGTGACTTCATAGTTGCCGTGGTTGTTCACGGCGTCGGCAAACAGCTGGAAGCCGACGCCATGTCCAGTACCGTCATCCCCGCGCGAGTGCTTCCACGATGTGGTGATGAAGAAGTAGGCATGGATTGCTTCATGTAGCAGTGTGTTGATGGTATCCGACCGAGGACGATACTGCAGCAGTGGCGTGGACAACTTCAACCGGATGCGCGTGAACTTGTTGGTCTTGGGATCCCGGGATAGCTCACAGATGCCAGCGCACTGGATCTATTGTTAGCCGGTGTTTGACACGGCAGTCTAGAAGCGGGTGGGGCAACGGTCCGGAGACACGAGGGCGGCTTCAGAAGTGGTGGATGAGACGCGTGGAAAGCAAATTGTGACGCGCAAAGAAAACCTACCAGAGTCAAACGCGGCGACCAGATGACTTCGACACGTGGGAGGAGCAGTTTGCGGAAGTAGAGGATGTTATACAGGGCGAACAGCTCGTGGATGTCGACAAAGGGCTCGCCGTTGTTCAAGATGGCGTTGATGCTCTTCAGGGCATCGTCTTGTTCAGGAGACAGCGGCTGCAGGGTCGCAACGGCCGCCAATGCAGCGTCCTCGTCGGTAACGGGCATGGCACATGCGAAACATAGTCGACTGTTAGTCTTAGTGTTTAGCAGGGTGGCAGTCCAGGCACGCCAGGGTCTGGATTAAGGGAGATCGCCGTGGAAGGCTGTTTCGGGTGCCGTGTGGCTCGTAGGGCTGCAATGCATGTGCACAAAACAGCCCTAGCGCGTGGAGATGATTGTTCGACACCACCAAGTGTCGTGACTTGGCTGTGCGGTGCCCCTTGCGCCTTCGTAATTAAGAGAGCCCGCCGAGTGCTTTGTCTGCCCCTGACGCCGTGGAAAATCTGGCCGTCTTTGCTTTCTCACACATACAAAGAAGCGTGGGGCGACATATCTAGGCCTCGCCATATCGTATGACGCACTGCCTCTCCACTTATTGCATAGTAGCAACCGATGCACGCGAACAGGACATCCACCTCGCATAACGTATACGCACACGCATTCCGATTCCGACGTCCCCTTTCCCGTGCAGTCACCCACACGACTATACGCTGTACGGATGGGCGTGCTCATAGTCTCGCTCGACAAACATGGCGGCAATCGATCCCCCCAGAGCGGTTGACTTGGTCCGCACGGCGTCGCAGAGCTCGACCATATCCAACCCACGCAACCGCAGCATACAGCGCATGCGGCCCTCGAAGCGCAGCTCCAACACGTCGCTCAGCCGCAGCCGCAGCAGAGCGCCCTCGCCCGAAGTCGACACCAAGAGCCTCACGTCCTTCCCCTCACTGTCGCCTAGCCCGGAGACGTCACCGGCACAGTCGCGCGTCAACGGCTGGTTCCGCTCCACGCCAGCGCCCGAGGACAGCCTTAAGAATGCTGAGAGCAGGACGGTTGCATCGCCCGACACGGTCAAGGCGATTCCCCCGCCGGACCTCAAGGGCACGACGCCTGCCTCTACCGTCAGGAAGGTCACCAAGTCAACACAGCAGATAGTGGGCAGTCTGGTAGCCGCCTCGTCTGCCAAAGACCGGACGGCTCTCTTCGACGACACCCCCACCGAGTCGGCCAAGGTCCCCGGAAACCTCCACTTTGCCAGCGACGACAACATACAGGATGCGCTGCGACAAACGGGCGCTGTGGCGCTAGTCAAGCAACTCGCTGGCGACCTGGCCCAGCGCGATGCGCAAATCACGGCTCTGCGGAGACGAGCCGAGGAGCGCGAGCGCATGCTGAGGAAGATGCTGCAGGAGTGCGAAGTCTCCAACATGGACATTGAGAACCGGCTGCGCGAGCTGGAGAAGAGCAAGGAGCCAGGCAATAGCCTCACCAAGACGAGGACGAGGGGCGACAGCACAGCCACTGGATTGCACCCCGACGACCCCATGGAGGACAGGCTCGCCAGGGCTATGGAAGACGAATTGGCTGAGCATCCCGATGCTCTGGGCATGGACACGGGCACCTCAGCGCCTCAGGCAGAAGTCATGTCCATCAACTCAGTCGCGTCGGACGCGCCACGCGACACATCCAAACCGAACTGGAAGACCTACATTTGGGCTGGGACGAGCAAGAAGAGCAGCCGAGCACCGTCCGTAGCGAGCATGGTGGACAGAGAAGCCGAGACTCTGGGGCATACCCGGTCGCGCGCATCTAGTGGAGCAAAGCCACCCCGCAAGGCCCTCGCGAGCGATCTCTTCGTCCCTCCAGCCGGTGCTGTACCTGCATTGCGCCGACTCAACAGCTCAGACCATGCTACAGACTCGGCGCGTAGATCTTCGTCGACATCGCTAGCAAGCTGGGCGTTGAAAATGGTAGCAGGAAACAATGCTGCAAACCCCAAGGCCAATACAGTACGAGGCCGCAAATCCACAGCTTCGAGTGTTGTCGACCGTGCGCCTTCCATGGACTCCACCAAGACCGCACAATCCGCAAAGTCATCGCTAGCCAGCACCCAAAGACGAGGTCGCGCCTTAGGCCCCAATGGAACAATCAAAAGCACCGCGCTAGAACAGCCCAAGAACGTGTCGAATGGGCTCGGTCCGACTCCGCCTGTCCGTGGAATGAGCAATCTTGGGCCCGTGGAAATGGACCGAATCCTGCCTGAGGACTCACGGCCACCAACGCTAGTACAGCAACACAATAGGTTCATCGGCAGCAGCGAGTACTTGACTGATAGATTCGGCTTCATCTATGACCAGCGTCGCAAGAAGAGACAGAGTGAGGCAGCGGCTGAGTTGATCAAGCAGAAGCGAAGCAGCAATGTGGAGTCACTCGGCGACGGCAGGACTGCACTCAACAACCTGGCTCTCGATGAGGACCATGAACATGCAGGCTCTGTTCCCGCGGATCAGAATGATGGCACCACACGCCCGTCCAGCTCCGACTCTGATAATCACCAGAACCAGCCAGCCAGCAAGACGTGGGTTGATTACCTGAAGCTAGCCACGCATCCAACTGAACTCCTCTCACACACTCCATCTGCGGCACCCATCACCACCGTAGAGTCCGCAGAAGGCGAAGTCTCCAACTTCAAAATTGGGAACAACCAAATTACATTGATGAAGCGAGGGTCTGCACCAACGGCGAGCGTCAACCCAGAGCCATCACCATCGCGTATCGTCTCAGGTAATGCAGAACTTTCCGCTACAACCACTTCACCGGGCCCATCTACTCCAATCAGCCAGTATCCCCCGCAGATCGACCCAGTGCAATCCCTACTAGAGCAGATGAGTGAGCTGCACGACAATCTCCAAAGAGAGAGGACTGTGAAGTGGAATGACTTTCTGCGTAAAGTGCGTGCTCAAAACAAGCGTGAAGGGGATGTTGCCAGCACCGGCGAGAATGGCAAAAGCAACGCAATGCCCGAGCAGTTCCTCGCCGATGGTGAACTAGTAGGCATCGCGGGCTTGGGTAACAAAGGCAAGATTGGACGCGCCAAGTGGCAGGAGTTCCGCCGTCTTGTTCTCGGTGGTATCCCAGTCAACATGAGAGCCGCGATCTGGGCTGAAGGAAGCGGCGCGCTGCATCTGCGCATGCCAGGCTACTACGAAGACTTGGTGAACAACGGCGAAGACGACCCCACCATTGCAACCCAGATCCAAATGGACATCACCCGCACACTTACCGACAACATCTTCTTCCGCACAGGACCTGGCGTACAGAAGCTACAGGAAGTACTCCTCGCCTACTCCCGCCGCAACCCCGAGGTTGGCTACTGTCAAGGCATGAACCTGATCACCGCCTGCCTCCTACTCATCATGCCAACCCCCGAAGACGCATTCTGGGTCTTAACCGCCATGATCGAAGAAATCCTCCCACAACACTACTACGACCAACACCTCCTCACCTCCCGCGCCGACCAATCCGTCCTGCGCTCCTACGTCAGCGAAATCCTCCCACGCCTCTCCGCGCATCTCGACGAACTAGAAATCGAGCTCGAGGCGCTAACCTTCCAATGGTTCCTCTCCGTCTTCACCGACTGCCTCTCCGCCGAAGCTTTATTCCGCGTCTGGGACGTCGTCCTATGTATGCACGACGGCTCTACGTTCCTCTTTCAAATCGCACTTGCGCTGTTGAAACTGAACGAGAAAGCGCTGTTGCAGTGCGATACCCCAGCGGGCGTGTACCACTACATCAACCACCAAATGACCAACCACGCCATCAGCATCGACGGCCTAATCCAAGCCTCCGACGCCCTCGGCAAAGTCATCAAACGCAAAGACGTCGAAGATCGCCGCGCAAAAGCCGTAGCGCACGAAGAGGAACTCATGCGCCAGCGTGAGGAAGCGAGACAGGAGCGCGCGCGGAAGAGGGCTAGTAAGCTTTCGGATGTATCTGCGCCGTCGCTGCCTACGCAACCGGAAGAGGATGCGAAGAGTCTGTCCGCTAGTCTCGACGCGGAGTTGTCGTCAAGGACGAGTCCTATGGCTACGCCGTTGAGTAGCGCGACGGCACGGAGTGAGGAGGAGGAGGATGCCGAGTATGTGAATAGTAGTTTGGAATTGACGAATCGCACGCCGATGCCTATGGATGAGGAGTTTATGTGGCGGGGCTGATGAATAGGGGAGGATGGTGTTGGATGGTGTTGGATGGGAGAGGCGATACGACGTCTTTTTTTCTTTGTTACAGACGTACGTATATATTTGCATCGCTGGAGTTGGAGTTAGGGGTTACGGGACTGGGACTGGGTATGGGATCATCGTTCCTTTTTCATCTATATACCCCATCGCCGCTGCTTGCTGGATGCCCCGTTGTAAAATTGGATTGGAGTGGATTGGATTGGATAGTTTAACAACAATGGATACCCCCTTCTTACTTTCTGTGTCTCCTTCTTCCGTCCTCCCGTGTGTGTTCATCTCTTTCTTCATCCTCGAGATCCGTGATAGAGACAGATGAAAGACGACGACGCTTGTCTAGTTGCCGGCGGCGAGTTCACCCATGTCCCGCCAACCTAGCACGCCCTCCTCGCCATTTCAAAGACCATCAAACTACTTTACTGAGCCATTCAGAACTCTCAAACTCATAGCGTACATAAACATTATCGCGATAGTTGGCCGCTAACTAGGATTTCATTACCGGATTCGTCGCATGTGAGTCTACAAGGTGTTCAGTGGGCTTCATTTTATTTAGTATGCATAGCACGCTCTAGATGGCTCTACCTGTAATGTGCCTTTGATGGTTTCCATCAACCAGCGAACTTGTAAAAATATCTAGTAACTCTAGTTGATGCTGCTTTTTGCTGACGACTTGTAAGTAGCAATGACATTCACCAGTTTTTCCACGCAGGATCGTACGTCGAGTGTTGTCACGGAAATTATCACGTCACCGTGAGATTGAAACGTTATGCAATCGGTTCGGGATACCACAAGTATGTTGGGGGAACAAATGTGGATATTTGTTGTCATGTATCCTCCACCACATTTGAGTAGCTGCAAACTAATTACTTTCCTGCTTGTGACTTCTGGCTTTCAGTCGTTAGCCACACACACATGCTGCACTATCCCTCGAGATGTTCGGCGGCCACCTAACTTGACCCGGACTGGCTAGTCTTGACGACGTTGCATACTGCATTGATACAAATAGCCGGCGCAGGAGATCGACCGCCGATGAGGGGACAGCCATCTTCCTCATCTTCCTCATCCGCACCTTCATCGTCATCCAGCAGGCTCACAGTGCGTCCTCTCAGGCCGCGCTTCTTATTGCCTTTCTTAGTCACCCCGGTCTTGACGTGCCCTTGTGGGCGGCGCTGGGAGGGAGGCGTGTTTTGTTTGTGGAAAACCTCTTCAACTATCATCCTCAAGGAAGAAGTAGTTTCCGCTCAGCTTCTGTTCCTGATCAAGCTGGGACTTGTCCTTGTTGATACGGGGACGGAAGGAGTTGGGGTCACGGCGGAAGGTGACGTCCAGGTTCTTCAGGAAAGAGTTGCAACCAGTGAGGAGAGACTCGGGCTTGTTGGCGCGAGCGTTGACAGCAGGTTGGCCGTCAAAGACGATGACACGGTCAGCAAGGTAGGTGGCCATGATGAAATCGTGCTCGACGACGAAAGCGGTCTTCTTGGAGTGCATAATGAAGCGCTTGATGACACGAGATGCGACAATACGCTGCTCGGAATCGAGGTAGGCACTGGGCTCATCGATAAGGTAGATGTCAGCTGGCATACCAAGGGCCAAGACGATAGCCACACGCTGCAATTCACCACCGGAGAGGTTCTGCACTTCCTGGTCGATGAAGTCGTCCATCTTAAGCGGCTTGTAGACATCGGTCTGGAACTGAGGGCTGAGGAAAGCGGTCTTGATCTTCTTGAAGAAGAGCTGGCGAACGGTACCCTGGAACCTGGGAGTGATGGTCTGGGGCTTCATGCTGATGCTCATCTTGGGGATCTTGGTGTCGCCGTCGGGTTGCAGAGCGCCGGCAAGCATCTTACAGAAAGTGGTCTTTCCGGTACCGTTCTCACCCATCATGACGATGATCTCAGAGTCAGTGAAGTTACCAGTCTCGATGTTGAGTTCAAAGCTTCCGAGGGTCTTCTTCATGTTTGGGTAGCTGTAGCCGCGGTTGTGGTCAACCATGTATTCGTCACCAGCCTCTGCGATGCGGAACTGCAGCGATTCCTCACGGAAACGCAAGTTCTCGGTGGGAATGTTACCATCAAGGAAGATGTTGATACCTTCACGGACGGATGCGGGCAGTGTGACGACACCGTAGACAGCGGGCTTTCCGTAGAGAACACAGATGAAGTCGGAGAGGTAGTCGAGAACGGACAAATCGTGCTCGACGACAATGACATAGTCGTCGGGGCGGAGCAGACTGCGGATCTTGCGGGCGGCGGCGAGACGCTGCTTGACATCCAAGAAGGATGACGGCTCGTCAAACATGTACACATCGGCCTGTTGGACACAGACAAGCGCAATAGCGAAACGCTGCAGTTCTCCACCAGAGAGTTGTCCAATGTCGCGCTCGAAGATGTGGCGCAGCTCCAACTCGTCAATCATCTCGTCGAGGTTCTCCATCTGGCTGCGGGCCCCGATGAGCTTGCCGACGCTGCGCTCGGTCGACTTGATGGCCTTGGGAAGTTGGTCGACATATTGGGGCTTGACGACGGCCTTGAGGTTGTCTTCCAGCACCTTTGTGAAGTAGTCTGCGCGTTGTTAGCCAGTAGTTTCTTTGTCCAGAAACCAGTGTCTTACTCTGGAGTTCAGAACCACGGAAGTACTTCAGGATCTCCTCCCAGTCTGGCGGGTTGTCGTAGCGACCGAGGTTGGGCTTGAGCTTGCCACTGAGGATCTTCAGCGCTGTGCTCTTGCCAATACCGTTTGTTCCCACGAGACCCAAGACCTGGCCCGGACGGGGCATAGGCAGCCTGTGCAGCTTGAAGCTGTTCGCCGAGTATCGGTGGGTGACCTGGGTCTCGAGGTTGGTGGGCAAGTTGATGATGTTGATGGCGTCGAAGGGGCATTTCTTGGGGCAGATACCGCATCCAATGCAGAGGCGCTCAGAGATGAAGGCGATTTTGGACGAGTTGTCGACTTCGATGCACAGCTTGCCCGTGCGGACGACGGGACACGACTTTTTGCATTCTTGGCGGCATTTCTGGCGTATGTTAGTATTCGGAAGGCGCGACCGAGGGGTGGCACTTGCCTTGGGCTTGCACTGTCAAGCGAACATCCTCATGTTAGTCGGTGATCAATTTTTGAGTGTGGAGGGGTAGTGGGGTACCTTGTCCGAGTTGACAATAGCGATACTGGACTATGTTAGCAAATACACGTGTTTGAGGTCTTTCACGACATGTGACGTACCGGGTGAGCTTGTCAGACATGCTGGCGGCGGCTTTGTTGTTGCGGCGGTTGCGGTTGTGGGTGGCCCTGGAGTCGCAAACTGAGATGAGGGTGACGGCTAAGCAGTGCGTGGGTGGACTCGGCGACAGTCACTGCGAGAGAGGCGCGCGCGGATGCTGGAGGCGGAGGGTGAAGGGAAGGGAAGGTCTCCAACGACTGCACGGGTCGGAGAGAACAATGAAAGAGTTGACTGACGTTGTTGGCGAGCACGCTGGGTCAGCGATTTTGGCGGCTTGTGATTGGGGCATACAAAGGCGCAAGGTTGAAGGCCCGAGCGCGCGCCTCTCTCCAGGGCTAGCAATGAACCTCCGCTTCCACAATCTACCCACACCTCACCCTACCCCCAACCCCCACCCGACTCTCACACCGAGGGTATCTTGACCATGGACTGTATGTATATTCCCTTTTGAGTCTCACGTCGCGTCTGCTTCACCCGCGGTTCTGCCTATATCGCCGGTCGGCGGCCTTGTCCGCGTCCATCAATCCCATCGCCAGACCACGCCCACGCATCCAGCAACTCGCCTTTCACGTAGAACACGCTCTTCCGCAGCCCAAAGAGCGCCTATATCAGCCCTCCACCACCGTGCACACTCTCCCTGCCCACCCTCCGGCTCGCGCGACTCCACCGCCTTTCTCCCATCAGGCGCTCGACCCCCAAGACCGCATTCCATCAGACTTCCATTGTGCAAGTCACTGCCCTGGTTCCTGGTCGCGTTCTGGCTATTCTGGATCGCGTAGTTGCGCTCTATCCAACGCACCCGCTCCGAGCCGCCGGAGCCCACAGAAGGTCGGAATATCGTACTGACCATCCACACAGCCGCGTCCATCATGATGCCCTCTTCACCAGGCCATGTCGCCTCGTTACCATACACAAACGGCCATTTGTCGCCTCTCGCAGCCCATATGACGACCGCCGATAGCTCCTCCCAACACAGCGACAACGACCAGTCCGACACGCAAGAGCCCGCCGCAGTCGACCCAGCCTCCGATGTCGACGCGCCGGGCGAGGAGTACGACGAAGACGACGAGGTAGCTGCTGCTTCAGACTCGTCTGAGGATGTCGACGCAGAGGGCGAGCCGGACGGCGACTACGACTCTGAGTCACCGCCGTCTGAACAGGCAGAGAGCGACCGCGCCCGCAGTTCATCAGAAGAGTCAAGGCGGCCGCCGAAGCGGAAGGCTAGCGATGAGAAGGAAGACTACATTGAACAGAACCCGGAGCTATATGGTCTGCGTCGCAGCGTACGTGGCATCTCCAGTCTGCATGTACATGAGCTAACTCCAGTCCAGGGTCGTGCCCGCCCTAGTCGTCGCGTCGTAAGTGACCCCCAGTTGATGGAAGAAGCATCACTAACAGTCTGCAGGTCGATAGCGATGATGAAGATGATGAAGACTACAGCTCTGATCAGCCCCGCAAGCGACAGAGGACAGCCTCGCGGAAGAGTTTGTCAACTCTCACCTGCCCATCTGAAGTCGTACTAACCCGTCTGCCCAGCCTCAAACCAAGCCACACCAGTCTATCGCTCAGCTGGCTCCGACTCCGAGTCGGATGGCTACGTTGGCGCCCGTCGCAATATCCCTACCAAGAAGCAACGCCAACGTCAGCACGCCGTTGCCGCAGGCCGCGAGCCCCCATCACAGGCCGAGGTCCGATTCTCTGCACGTCGCACTGTCCAAGTCGCCAACTACAATGAGGAAGAAGACGAGGACGAGTTCGTCGA